CAAATCCCATTTACATGAAATTACTCAATACCACCACTCTTTGGTATTGGAGAATCAATCCTAAAATTGATTATTTTTAAACTAAATTTCCCACACCTATCCTCTCTCTTATCTCTCTCTCTGACTTCTACTCCATCCCTCTCTTGTCTCTCACTTGGCCAAGCTTTTTCACAAACAACCTAAGTAACACCAATGAGTGTGAACCAAGAAACATCAACAATGGCCTCTCCTTCAACAGAATAATCACACACATTTACCAAGCTATTAGAGTTGCACCGACATATAAGTGCACAAATTAGTCTTGGAACGATAAACAAGGGTTTGCAAGACTAAGAGAAGGATAGAGAAGGAAAGCTTGTAAATATTTCAAGGGGAACATGAGCTTAGGCTAGAGATGGAAAGTAACGAGATTGACATCAATGAGATGCAGAACAAGAGTAAGTTGATAATAGAAGAAAGAGAAAGATAGTTGAAATTTTTGCCAAAATTAATGAGCAAGACAAATGTCAAAGTAGATGCTCTTGATAAGATCCTTTCCTTTGTAAGCCACTTTGATGTCAATGGAAAAGATGAAGCCATCGATCTCCTCCTTGACTAGCTCAAACACAAATCTCTTAAGCCTTAATTGTAACATTCTAAATTTTTAATTTAGGATTAATGAAATAATTAAGGTGAAATTTATAAAACAATAAATTAATTACATTTATTACCTTTTTGAATTACTAATAGACCTATCGAACTATTGGATAGCCTCAAAGTTGAGCTAAGATGGTTATTAGGTCAATCGAGCCTAGATGAAGGCATAAAATTTTGAACCTTAAAGTTATGCCATTTGCCACGGTGTAAGCACACTGTGCCACAGCAGACAAACTAAAATTTCATTTAATCTATTGTGAGATATATATATATATATATATATATATGAAAACAAAAGAGAAAAGAAAGAAAGAAGGTGATAAAAAAAGGAGAAGAGGATTACTCTATTATGGCTTCAATTCTTGACTACTTGGGAGTTATTCTTGACCTCAAATCATCTGGGTAATCCTTTCACTACTTCCATATACTCTCCACATGTTTTTCTTATGATTTTAGGCATTGGAGATGTTGATTTTTGGACTCTAAGATTTGGGTCCAAACCTAATGGTTAAACAGAGTTATTGGGAGTTAATTTAAGTTTCTCCACCTAAGATTGTAAATTTTATAAAGTTTTATAGTTGGGTTCTAGGGTTTATACAAACCTTGGGCATAAAATGGAACCTTGAGAGTAGTATGGACCATAATCTAATGTTGTTTGATCTTGTATAGGCTAAATTGAGCTAACAATAGGTTGTTAAGGCTTTGATTATACCTACTATAGAACTTAGGGGCTTAGGTTAGCTTATTTGATCTTAAAAGTGCTAATGTGAGGGTTGAAAGGGGTGAAATAATATTCTAACATGTAGAATATAATTGCTCAAAACTTCTTTAAGCTAGAGGAGGCTTGAGAAGCGTTGAAATTCCATGAGTAACTCTTTTCGATAACAAAAAGGTTGAGGTAACCAAATAATCAACCTTACTTACTTGCATGTTAGATCATTTATGGATATTTGTGAAATAAATAATAACATATGCATGCATGAGTTATGATTTTAGAAACCTACATGAAGCAAGAAAATGATTTTAGAAAAAATATGCTTATATATCTGTGTGTGTGTGTGTTGAGAAATTGATTTATGATATTGATATTTTTGATCATGGTTAATTCTATATGATCTTGTGATATATGTGCATAAACATGATCATTGTGAATGAGGGCGATAGTTCACCATTAGTGGAATAGCTTAAAACCATATGGTACTTACTAACATCGTTAATAGACCCAGTGATAAGTTTTATGTGTGTATATGTGTATGGATATCTGTTTAGAAGTCCTAACTTACCACAAGTGGCGGGAGTTAGGCATACGACACCCTGATTATTCAAAAAGGCAAAAACCATGGTCCAATAGTAAAATGGAGTGTTAGCAGGGTTTCCTTCTCTATTCGATGAGCATGGTCAATTGAATCACATAGATTTGGCCAAGTCGTGTTATTAGCCTACATATTCAATCATCGGTGTTGAGGAGAGCCCACATATTCAGTCATCAGTGTTGAGAAGGTTAGAATGGAATCATAAATCATGTTTATTGATACCAAATTCAGCCTCAACTTTGTTATGTAGGAGAGGTTGGAGGATCGAACCTGGGGAGGCTCCTCGCAAGGGGAATAATCCACACACTACTGCAGGGAAGCCTTTGTCTCCTGATGCTCACCGTAAGGGGTGGGGTCGCCCTGTTGTGGGGCCTGGGGGGAGAGTGTCCAGCGCCGCAAAAGACCTCGGGGAGGCAGGGTGAGCGGAGGGCTGTTACATAAACTATCCCCTTTGCACCCAAATCATACCACTTGTACCCCAAGCCATAATAAATGCACCTTAAGCTAAAAGCCTTGCACCCATAAATCAATGAAGCAAAAATCAATGGCATGAAATATTTTTCTTAAATTTTAGATTGAGTCATAAATGTCATACTTGATAGCTTTCAACTAAATCTAAGGTAACAAAAATAAGTAACACAGTAAGGCAAATTGATTTTGATAGCCATTGAGCAACCTAATATTTACACTTTACCAAATAAAAACAATGCCATAAATTTGGTTTAGAGAACAAGAAGAACAAACTAGTCCTTGTTAAGCGATAATAGAAAAAGAAGACTCACTATTCGACCTTCCAAGCTATGCCACAACATCAACAAAAAAGAAGAAACCAACATTAGATGTGAGGATCTATTACACTACCATCACAATCAAAATGATGGCCATTAACTAATAAATTACTGTCAGCTAGACTTGAATTATAAACAATCTTGGGTTGATACATTTTTATTTAACTGACAGTAGTAAAATCATTTAACAAAAATTTCACATAACCACAAGCATCAACTTACAAGTGCAACCTAGAGAAGCAACATTAAAAAGAGTTATATAAAATTTTCTAAATTGAGAAATGCATACTTCTCGAAATGTCAGCAAATATGACATTTAGTTGTTCATTAAACTAGGAATACAAAGCATCAGTGTAACCCAAATAACAACACAAATGGCTCATGCACTAATTTAACTTGATTTTCAAGGCCCAAACTAAAATAGAATAATTCACAACTAGAAAAGAGAAAGTTGGTTGTGTACAAGAGAATAGGTTCAAGGCCTCTATCAAGCAATAATTTCACGGGCAAGTAGGTAACTAACTTGACAACAAATATATAAATATGAAATTCAAGAAGGGATTGCAAACTATAGATTGCATATTCACCAATTCAATTTCAAACCATAGACCTTAGGGATGAAAGAAAAGGCAACATTAATGATGGCCAAGCATTTGTAAACAAAGAAACTCATTAGCTCTTATATGAAATTCATGAAAGATCTACCATCAACATTATTGGGGAAAAAACAAAAAAAGTACCTCTTTTGCCTTGCCTAACTGAGTATTGACTCATCACTAACTTTCTCCAATTTTTTCAAAGTAGGTTTTCATAGTTTGTTATTCTCATCTTCACTTTTTCTTCTAGTTAAAGCTACATCTTTCCCTTCCATTTCTTTAGAAGATTTTGAATCTTTAGAAGTGTTTTGCATCTCAACAATGGTTTTGGATGCTGTCTCGACAACTATATTAACATTAATGTAATTTGTTATTCTATTTTTTCTTATTTTAAATATAAAAAGAATAAAATAAATTAAAGTAATAAGCTATATGTATTATTTATAACTTAAGGGGTGTGTGTGTGATAATTCAATCAGTTCGGTATATTCAATTTTAAAATTTGTAGATCGAGTTAAACCAAATAAACTAAATCAAATAGATAGAACTCAATTTGATTCAATTTGATTTTCATTTTTGGTTTTGTTGTGTACACCTCCAATCAAAACTTGATTTGATATATTTATTTCTTACATTAACCTATTTTTATTATAAAACTAAATAACATTAAGAGTTACCAAATCAAATTTAAGTATTGTTGATATAATTGGAGATAATTTATTCATTATAAAATTTCCATTGAGATTTGAATCTTCAACTTTACTCAAGAACAATCAAGTCTTTTATACTTGATCCAACAATATAAAATTAATATAAATTTTATTTAGCATTGTCAATTGTTAATGTCAAACAAAAAAAGTATTAGCAAGTATTCTAAAGTTTGACTTGTCTCATATTACATACATATACTCTTCTTGATTTTTTTTTAATATGTCATTTTCAATATTTTCATCAAAATCAAGTGGATATGTAAAAATCATTAATTTTATGCAAAAATGACAAATTTTTAAATTAAACCTTGCCTCTAATAATCTCATCCTTGAAGCAAAATAGCCAATTTTAAAGAACTTGAATCAACATTGAATAAAGACAATAGAAGCAAATTGTAATAAATATCTTACACAATAATTTATAAAAATGACCAAAATCTCTCATTGAATCTTAATGTCTTATAAAAAGAATTGAAAGGGGTAGATGTAAGAAATGCATCCTCTACTTCAAGCCAAAAAAAAAAAAATGGATCCTCTAAAGGTTCAAATATGTAAATTTCATAAAATTTATTTTTTTAAAAGAGAAAAGAAAAAAGTAATAAAATGAAAGAAATACTAAAAATAAAAAAATCACATAAATTCATGAATTTTAAATTCAGAGCATCAATGCCCCATAGAAGTGTATATAAAACCCATCACCATTGTTTAATAATTTAAAATTTTTCAAAAATAAAATTCCTTTTAAAAAATTATTTATATTTAAGACTTGATTATATCTTGAATAAAATTATTTTTAATATAAAGATATTGGTGAGCGATAAAAATAAATTATCCTTATTCATCTATTAAAAGTTCAAAACAAGAAGATATTTTCTTTCACATTTTAATTAATTAAAAATGAAAAAGGGATTAAAGGGGGTAATGATGAATTTAGCCCAGGTGCAGTGCGTGGCTGAGAGGTTTAGCTACAAACGGCCTCACGCCTTTATATCTCCCTCCCATTGATACCATCACGCCACTCGTACGTTCCTTTCACCTCCCCACGCGAACGCTCTTCTTACTCTTTCCCTTCTCCGTTTCCCACCCATCTCTCCCTCTTATCAAACCCTAGTAGCAGGTTCCTCCGATTCTCTCCCTCTCTCTTGATTCTTCTTCTCCCTAAGTCTTAATCTGTTTTTTTCACTTTGTGTTTTTGCGTTTCAGGATTCGCTTTCTTTCGATTGTACCCTCGATTCTTGTTCCTCCTTCCTCTCTTTTCTCCTTTGGTTCTTCTTTATGATTGAGTAATTTATTGTGAAGTGATAGATTTGGGCGGAGTGGGAATGATTTGTGGCTGCTCTGTTTCTGGTTTTGAGATATTTTGCTTGATGTTTTGTTCCTTGATGAAAAGTTGTTTTTTTTTTTTGGGATGAAGAGTGACTTGATATTTATTTCTGCTAGAAGCGATTACTTGATTGTACATAAATACGCATATGATTGTTGGATATTTGACTGGTCGTTAGTTGCTAGGGAGGGGTAGTTGGATGGGAAGTTCCTCTGGGTACATTATCGGTTAAATTGGGATATTATGATGATCACCATGATTGATCTTGCCTACCAGTAATCGAACTGGGGATCTCTCAGCATTTAAGCTAAACCACGGGGACCGATTTTACTGTTAATTGGGGCATTATGAATGCTGTAATGTGACCCCCCCAATCTTATTCCTTGTTTTGTTGTTGTGGTAATGATTCGAGGAGTCTCCAAAACATTTAGTAAATAAATAAGCTAAAGGGAAGGAAGAAAGAATTAGCTAGCAGCGTGGAACCTTATTGTTCAGACTTAGTTGTAAATTTATGTTCTTGTTACATTCACTTCTTTTAGCGAATATCGTTTGTGGCTATTAGCCTATAATTCTTGAGCAGGTGTGATTTTTGGGCCGTCTTGGTTGCTGTCATTTATAGTTTTGTGTTCTTTTGGCATTTCGGAGTCTCTTAATGATTTAATCAACTGCACCATATGCCTCCAATCACCATTGGATTCCTTCTTAACTAAATATTTTACTTTACAGTGAGAAGGCCTTGACCAATGGCTTCAAAACGTATCAACAAGGAATTGAAGGATCTGCAGAAAGACCCTCCTGCATCTTGCAGCGCAGGTTTGTGCTCTTCAATTTTCCCTTGTTTTTTCTTCAAAAGATTAGGTTTACACACACAGCAATTGGATGAACAGAAAATTTCATGCGAGGACAAGCAATGGAAGCATTCATTCTGACGTATGCATTATGTTGATGTGGCACAGAAATAGAGTTTCTACCATGCTTCCATTTTGAACTGTAGAATGTGTGAAAAAGTTATGCATTAAGTTGTTGCACTTTTTCATCTTATATGCATATATATGTTATTGCCTACATAGCTCCACTTGTCATGAACAAGTTTATTAAATTAGAATATATACTACCCAACATACATGAATATGTCCTGCGCATCCATGATGACTGTATTAAAAAACCCAAAGAAAATTTGACTGTTGTAGTGTAATTGGTTTTCAATGTTCAGGTCCAGTTGCTGATGACATGTTCCATTGGCAAGCTACAATTATGGGCCCTTCTGATAGCCCATTTGCTGGAGGTGTATTTCTTGTAACTATTCACTTTCCTCCAGATTATCCCTTCAAACCACCCAAGGTAATGCAAAACCTGTACTATGTGTATTACCCCTGTTTCAATAAACTTAGGCCCCCGACTCTGTTAGCGATATTACACTTCATTGGTGTGTGTGTGTGTGTGGGTGTGTGTGTGTTCAATGGCATCATATGATTACTTTCGTAATTTCCACATTGAGTTGCTCTAATATTCACTGTATTAGATAAACCACAAAGCAATAAGATTAGTTAGGATTGTTGAACAATTCTAGTAGTTCTCAGCTGAAACACCTGTTGGAAAAAAGTGGATGGAAGTCTATCTATACTTTGAGCAGATTGTCACTAACTTACTGACTTCATCTTTAGCTAATTATCATTTCAAACTCAATCAACATTGATGTTGAGAAAAGATGTCAGGATTCCTAATGAGCTTGGCCTAGTATTTGACCAATGTAGGTCACTTTTCCCTAAATTCACATTTATGTTGTTGGTCACAATTGGTCATTAGTGCTTTTAACCATTTTATTTCCCTAGTTGAGGGAATGGTCGGTGTAACATCCATTATCACATTTCAGGTGTCCTTCCGCACAAAGGTTTTTCACCCTAACATCAATAGCAATGGCAGTATCTGCCTTGACATCCTCAAAGAGCAATGGAGCCCTGCCCTCACAATATCCAAGGTAAAGTCTTGTTTTTCCTTGAAATTTCTCCGTGCTACACGTTGTTTGTCATGTCATTATGATCGTGATATATTTTTCCAAGCTTTGTGCCAGAGGGACGTCTGTATCAATTAGAACTAGAAATTTAAGCCAAAATTATCAGAACTAGAAACTGATGTCAAGCTGGTAGAAAATTTTGCTGTAAGCTGAAACAAATGGGATTTTGCAGGTTCTCCTGTCCATATGCTCTCTGCTGACAGATCCCAACCCAGATGATCCTCTGGTGCCAGAGATTGCTCATATGTACAAAACTGACAGAGCCAAATATGAGGCTACTGCTCGATCATGGACCCAGAAATATGCCATGGGGTAGGTTCTCCGGTTGATCTGCGAGATAGATATCTTGCACAATCCCTATTATATATTTAGTAAATAAATAGTGTTGAATTGTGGAAGTAAGCAAAGCATGAAACTCTAGTATGGTTTGTATTCTGAAATTGGTCCTTAATCTTGGAATGGCAGCAACAGGTATTTTATAGTGACTTGATGTTGATGGACAAAAAGTGTCTGTGCTGCATGTTGTCCTCCGTGTTTTGCCTTAATAGTCTCCTGTTCTATGGATTTTTATTCAGAATCTAATTAGCGCTCCCATTTCTGTCTCCTGAATTTTGCTTTAAGTTTGCAGCCAGATGTAAGTGGAGATTTTTTTTTTTTTTCACTTACTTTTAACCGTTCTAGAGAAATTCAATTTCTAGTAGTTAATTTTGGTTTGAGGTGCAAAATGTAAGGTGTAGGTAGTTCAAATGTTTGTCTTTTTTTGAAATTGGATTTTATTTTAAATGAAATGAGATGCGCAATAAAATTAATCTTACCGGAAGTTTATTAATGGTTTCCTTTTTAGGAATTAGGGTGAATTGCATTCTAATCGTTAGCGAAAAGAAAAAAAAATGCATTTATGTTAAATTAATATTAATTACAATCATCTTGAATTATGTTTAAAAATAGATGAGATTACGTTACATCGATGTCGATAAATACAAGGAAGGCTGCCAATTTCAAGACGTTCAATTGAATTTACAAAAGAGAACATTACATCAGAACTGTATTTGTAGTGTCTAAGTAATGTACTGACTATCGTGTGTGGCATGGATGGTAATGATTTGGCCCCTTTGAGGATCATATCATGATTTGATTTCTAATGGGTGTATGAAAAACAGTATTTGGAATAGGATAATTTTTAAAATGATGCTCAAATTTGTTGGGGAATTAATGTCACGATTGTCGTCTGCAAAGATCCTTGAATAACAAAAAAAAATGTCAGGAAAAAAAAAGTAATGCAATCAATTTAAAATTCTTGTTCAATGATAATTAATATATGGATTTTTTTGTGTTTAATTAATATATTGATGTTAATTTAACAAATAAGTTTCCAAATTTGTAATCTCTTCATTTTGACATGTCCTTTATTGGAATCAATTAGTTAAGTCTTAACTCTTAAAATATATCCATTCATTAAGTATCAATGTTTTAATGCGTACAATTTTTTTTTTTTCCCTGTTTTGATACATCTGTTTAGAATCCAATATTATCGATTCAGACTTAAGTACTATGAAACATAATTAAAGTAGCTTTCCTAACTTGATTTTTTTTTTTTTTATATGCAAAGCTCAAACTCTTAACTTCACTCAAAAGGAATCAAAATCCTTCCACTCAACCTAATCATTTCTCTTTTGATGGCCCCCAAAAAAAAAAAACAAAAACTTAATCATTAAAATTTATTCCCAAATTTTTTGTACTCACATTATCTAATTGAACCAATAAGATCTCTAAAATCCATTAAGGCCCAAGTACATGCAAATTATGTCTCCGCAATTGTAAATAAAACTATATCATCCTCTTCTCATATCTTTAAAAAAAAATCCAAAATTAATAAAACTAATTGTGGGTCTTACATTTTATTAAGGATTTTTTGAGATTATGTTACTTTGGGCTTTTCGATGTTTTTACTTAATTTCAACAATCTTACATGATATAATGAGAAGATAAAATTTGCTCAACTAAAAAAGTTTGGAATATATATTTCTAGAAGGAAATTTTACAAGAAACACCAAATTTCATCCCTGAAGATTCATAAGATGCTATGCTGCTCACAAATTTCACCAAGTGGCTCTACCTTCTCTCTAACGGTCTAACCTATATAAACAAACACACTCGCACACACAAACTCTTTACTAATACGAAAAACTTTTATTTATTGTTATAAGTTACAACCCAAACACTTGAACAATAATTCATACAAAAAAAAAAATTATGCTTTGAGTGCGAATGTTTTTGAGTGTGTTTCACATTTGTTATGGGTAACTTTTTAAATTAAAAAAAGAAGTAGCTTGCTTAACAATGAAATATCCCATGATGGTTTTACCCAAAAAAATCCCATGTTGGCGCCGACAAAGCTTGACTCTGTTGGTAAGGATTTTTCACCCCCCCCCTCTCCCTTTTCTGGCTATTTGACCAAGACAAGGACGAATAAAAAATAATTATATGGGGAGTCATAATTGTAATTTTATCAAAAAGTAGGGGTTAAAATTGATTTCAACATTTTTCATAAACACAAGTATACCTAAAATTTTGTAGCGTGGGGGGGCAATAACCCCTTCATGCCTCCCTCAATTTGTTGTTGGACCCAGATTAATTCAATTGGTAGCCAACGAGCACTTCCTTAGAGTTCATACTTTTTACCAAAAATTTAATCAATATTTCTTATTTAGGATTCAAATTCAAGACTTCTAAGCATCCAATGATAGTTGATAAGGATTTGACTCATTATTTACAAGATCATAGATTCAAATTATGTTATCAATATTAGAATTTTGTTGATTGACAATTTATTAGTGCTCTTTCTTTAAACAAAAAAGCTTTTCTTGACTTTGATGAGACTTTGGGGATCAGCTAACTTAATTTTTTCAGAAAAACACACCATATGAGCATAAAGAAGACTTATGTATTTAACTTTATATACTAAATATACTTTTATCTAATCAAATCAAAGCAAATAAATTTTAATATGTTAATAATATTAATAACAAGTTAAATATATAAAATTAAGTACATAATTTTTAGGCTAGAATACATAAAACTTTTTAAATTTTGATATAGTCATATATAACTCTCCTCACTTTTAAATATTTAAAATTAACTCAAATTTTTAATTTTATTTTTCAAAACCCCCCACCGTGGATTAAATATCATGTTATTAATATAAGTATTGTTATGTTAGATTAATGTAATATACATGGCACATGACAAAAAAAATATTTTTATTATTTTTAACACAATTTAAGGAGGGAAAAATTGTAACTTTACTTTTAATACACATGACGATACTCTCAATTTTTTTTAGTTGAGGGACAATATTCTCATTGTTCATGGATAATATAATTTAAGAGAAAAATTATAATTTTATTATTCTTTATCAATTAAAATAACCCTTTATATTAAACAAATGAAAAAAATATCTAAAATCTGTTATTAATAAAAGATCATACAGATAAAAATTTATTCTTCAATGCGAGAAAATTATGCACCAATCATAGTCGGTAATTTGATCAAATCTGCGATCCCAAACAATAAAAAATTCCAGACTCGACTTTGTGGAATTATGCTTTTTTTATTAAAAAAATCTGGGCCCTTGGCCCAAATACAAAAAGATTCATTATATATATATATATATATTATTAAATATTAATGAATCCTTTAAATTTTATGTTATTTTATATTAAATTTTTATATATTTGAGTACATTGTTACAGATATTTTTAAAAAATTTAAAATATTTATATTATCATATTTTTATTATTTTTAATATATAAAATATTTTAAAATAATATTTAAAATATATTTTAATATTTATTTTTAAATTAAGACCCATATATTTTTTACAAAAAGTTTGAATCTTTTACATCATTTAAGTATTTAAAAATATATTTTATATTTTTATAAAATAAAAATAATTAATTTTACAGTAAAAAAATAAATTAAAATTAATTTTAAAAATAAAAAAATGATAATTCAGATATTTAAGGATGGCCTAAAGCCTGAAAAGGTTCAAGACGGATTTGACTATTCAGGCTTATTCGACCAGCTCTAGCACCAATGTTGATAACAAAAAAAATATGAATAAAATAAATAAAAATTAGATATTTAAAATTTTATACAATAATAATAGAAACTTTTTTTAACAATTAATGCTTCAATTATTGAAAAAATATAAAAAAATTGATTATAAACAACTATCCTATATAATATTTTGTTTAATAAAAAATATTCATGGAATTGAATCCTTTACCTGTAGCAATCCTGAAAGAAATTCTGTTATGCGCCAACATGAGGTAGCAAGATGGAAGGGCAATTAGGGTTTTTTAAAGATACAGAAAAAATATAGCTTTGAGTTCTTATACTTTACTTATATTTTACCATTAGTTTCTATATTTTTTTAATATTTTAAGTCCTTACATTTTTATTTTTCAATGTTATAGGTTTCTCCATAAACAAAGTGTAGGGATCTTGAAGAGATTTATAATATCAAAAAGCAAAAATGTAGGAACTTATAATATAAAAAAAAGTGTAAAGACTAATAGTAAAAGATGAGTAAAGTGTGAAGATCCAAAATTATACTTTTTAAAGATAAATAACATTTTAACCCTTATAAAAAAATAATATAATTTTTATATATTTATTTTTTTGCCACATAAGATGTCACGCAAGCTTCTTTATAACTTTTCTTAATATGACATAACAAACTCTATTAATGATGTAATAGAGTAATTAATGATAGAGGCTTTAAAAATAAAATTAAAGATTAAGAATTAATTTTAACTGACCTCGAAGTTTAGAATATTTTATATACTTTAACCTAATTATTTTATGTTGTATTTTTTTTGATCTCATTTATAAAATACATTTTAAAAAATTTATTTAGTCCCATTTATAAATTATGATGTAGTTTTTTAAATAATATTTAAAAAATATTTTTAAAATTATTCTTTATAATAAAAAATAATATAACATTATTTTTAAAATTTATTATATTAAAACATATTTAAAATTTTATATACTTCTATTTTTTGTATTTTTTTTATATTGACGTTGGCCTGGTTGATAAAAATAGGTTATAAAGACGATGAGAGAGTATTAGATGCGGCCACTTCGGTTGAAGCTCGACAAGTGTCAACTGCATGGCCTTACGAGTGGAGTGCGAATTGCTTTTCTTACGTGGGGAGTGTGAAACAGGGCACGTGTCAATGACACGTGGACAATTCTCGAAGAAACTAGTTTTTTGTTTTTAGATGTAGTGAATCTCGAAGGCACTATCTTGATTATAGATCAAGTGCTTGTCCCTTTATCCATATTAGTTGAAAAAAAATAAATTAAATTCTCAACTTATGACCCGGAATGGAAACTAAAGTTCCAATTCAAATTGTGAATGTTAGCTCATTTCCATTTCAGAATATGTGTGCGTGGTTCTTCATACTTGAGAATAAATTAAAAGCATATTTTAATCCAAAAATTATTCATACGGATCAACAAATTAACATTAAGCATAATTTCCCCACACACACACACACAAAACATGATTATATAAGAATGACCGGAAGGCTAA